AAGCAGACTCCCTGCCGAGCAGGGAGCCCGATGAGGGACTCGATCCCGGGACTCCAGGATCATGACCTGAGCTGAAGGCAGTCGCTTAACCAACTGAGCCACCCAGGCGCCCGAAGTTCAACTTTCATCACATGTCACTCAACTCATCAAAATCCCAGGTGCCTGCCAACCACTGAATTCATTGTGCCTTCTGAGATTCTGCATAAAGAACCCATGCTAACTTTCCGACATGAGCTAATCCCTATATTCGGATTATCAGAGCACATTGCAACTGTACTGGTGGAAGTAGCCCTAATATGTCTCTCACCCTCCAGCGCCAACATATTGCTGACCGTAGTCCAATCTTCTGCCCATCTGAATGTCTGTGCATCTGTCAGAGTCCCATGATTCTTTCATGTCCAATCTAAAATCCCATTCCCCTCCCCCCCAAAATAATAAATAAATTAATTAATTAATTAATTTAATTAAATAAAATCCTCTTCCCTGTTTGAAGGCTGCTACTGGTTCTTTCCTTAGCCCAATATTACTTTTTCCTTCCCTGTACTCAAAACACATTCTTAAGGCACTCCCCATGTTTTTGCTTGTTTGTTTTTTGTTTTGTTTTGTTTTGTTTTTCCTTCATCTCTAGACATTCTTGGCATTCTACCTAGTAGACACTAAGCTGTTTAAAGGCAAAAAGTATGTTTTATTCATCTCTGGGTTCTTGCAACCTCTGCCATGAATGTGTAACCACTTAATAAATATATCTTAAATTGGCCCTACAAGCTAAGATTCATGAAATAGAAACCCACAAAGGAAAATTCACAGAGGTCACACCAAAAATCCAATATCATGCAGGGATATTCGTAAAACTTTCGGGCCCTCAAAAAAGATGACTGACTAGAGTTACACACCTATTAAATTGGCTAAAAACTGGAACACTGACACCACCAAATGCTAGTAAGGATGTGAAGCAACAGGAACCCTCATTCATTGCTGGTGGGAATGCAAAAGGGTAAGTTGCTTTGGAAGACAGTTTCTTACAAGACTAAATATATTCTTACCATACAATCCAGCAATCCCATTCCTTGGCATTTACACAAAGGAGTTGAAAACATACGTCAATACAAAATCCTGCACAGGGATATTTATAGCAACTTTATTCATAATTGTCCAAACTTGGAAGCAGCCAAGATGTAGCTCAGTAGGTGAATGGATAAATAAGTTATGGTACATCCAGACAATTGAATATTATTTATTCAGCGATAAAAAGAAATGAGCTATGAAGGCATGCAAAGACATAAAGAAACCTAAATACTTACTACCAAGTTCAAGCAGCCAATCTGAAAAGGCTACATACTGTATGATTCCAACTATATAATATTCTGGAAGAGGCATAATTATGGAGACAGTAAAAAGATGAGTGGTTGCCAGAGGTTGAGGTGGTGGGGGCAGGGAAGGGAGGGATAAATAGGCAAAGAACAGAAGATTTTTAGGGTAGTTAAAATACTCTGTATGAGACTATAACGATGGATACATGTCATTATACATTTGTCCAAACCCATAAGAGTGTACAACACCAAGAGTAAACAGTAATGTAAACTATGGACTCTGGTTGATTATGATGTATCAATGTAGGTTCATCGATTGTAACAATGTACCACTCTGGTTGGGGATGTTGATAATGGGAGAGGCTGTGCATGTGTGGGGTAAGGGAATATATGAGAAATCTCTGTATCTTCCACTCAATTTTGCTGTGAACTTGACATTGCTCTAAAAAAAGAGCCTTAATAAAACAAAAATACCTACAGAATTTGCATTACATTTATCCATATTTACTAGAGCCATTCCCTCACTCTATTACTTAAATACAAATTTCCTACTTTCACACCTCTACTGCCTAGGTTAAAAGCATTCAACTCTTTAGCTAAATAAAATGCAGTCCTCAAGCATGAAATGCAAGCAAATCACACAAAGAGAGACAATTACATCTTCTTTTACTTCCTCTGAGGTAATCTTGATATGTGTCAACTTATCTAGTTTTATGACTCAAGAATATTTTTTTAAAACTGTGTTAAATCAGGTTATTAATTGGAAAGAGAAAAAATGGAAAGAGGATGGGAACTAGTTAGTTAACATTAGTGATAGTTAACATTAGTGATAGATGTCTTAAATCTCTTATCTCATTTAATTTTCAAAATCATCCAGTGTGTTTATCCTTACCTTGCAAAATAAAAAATGGGAATGGGAGAGGATCTCAGAGATAATTCCTTGTTTAGGTCAGTCACCTTCAAACCCAGGTGTGCCTTCTAAGTACATGTTCTTAAAGTGACACCCCACCACCTCCCAGAATGTAAGAAAGTAGAGATAGGTGGGCATCATAGTAATGGTTGATAGGAATCAGTTCTGTGGTGCTAACCAGAAAAGGAGAGATTACATAGACATGAGAGATACCTGAGCTGCATAATTTAGTGGTCATCATTTGGTGGATTTATTGCATTCATTTTTGTTTTCAATATTCAGAAGAGGATTAGCTTCATCCGGTTCTTATTTTCCTAGGATACTGAAGTTCAGTTGGCTGATGTAATCTCGCAAGACTAAAGATAGTTGTGTAGTATTACTAGTAGGTGTGAAAGAACAGTGATTGGCAAAAACAATTAACTATATTAACTTAGGCTTAAATCTGGGCTATGGATATGGAATAGCTCCTAAAAGTCATCATAGGAAACTTTTTCTATGCTCTCTCTGTCAGACTATTTTGCTTCTTTAAAAAAATTTCCCTAGAGGGGCGCCTGGGTGGCTCAGTCCTTAAGCATCTGTCTTTGGCTCAGGTCATGATCCCAGGGTACTGGGATCGAGCCTCGCATCCGGCTCCCTGCTCAGCGGGAAGCCTGCTTCTCCCTCTCCCACTCACTGTTTGTGTTCCCTCTCTCGCTGTCTCTCTCTCTCTCTCTGTCAAATAAATAAAATTTAAAAAAAAATTTCTCTAGAAAAATCAGTCTCGGATTAGTTTTTAAAGTGTAATCTTTGATCTTTTAAAATTTGTATTAAAATTTTTAAATTTGTTTATAAATAGGTTATGTTGAAATAAAAGACAGTCTGTGCTCTTTTCAATACTAGAATGCATCATGATAATTTTCACTTGTTACTTGTAATTTTCAGAATCTGTCATTCTTAGCTTTAATTTTGCGTTAAGGAAATTTAAAGTTAAATCTTGACTTCAGACTGCTCTCTGCTGACTACTTTTTATTGGCTTTTTGACCAAAACAGAATAGCAAAATGCAATAGAAGCCCAAAGTAATCAACCTTGAGTTGACTAAATTCTATACTAAATTCACAGTTTCTATCAACTTAACCATGGAATACAGGTCTCTTGTAAAATATTTATAGTGAGAGTGTTAAAGAACTTGGTATACAGCTTGCTTTAGTATTTTTGTCCACTTGAAGTAAATTTAAGGAGATCTGGAAGGCCTGTGTCTTTACAGAAGTGGGTGTTGTCTTGGATTTCAGCTGAGCTATGTCTCAATAGGAGTCATATACCTCCATCTTGTGGCTCAGTCATAAAATTCCCACACTATCTTTTTTCAAGATAGTCTAATTTTGTAGTAAGTTTCAAACTTCCCAGTCTTTTAATGAATGCCATAATCATATTGAAAATTTGTTTAAGATTTGTGTAAAACTGGATGGTACTTAAATATTTAGTGGCTTTTAGGAAGGTAAGCATTATCTCAACTGTTCGTAAAAGTCACTAATAATCATGAAACACAAATTTATTCTCCTGGCCAGTGAAAAAGCCATTTTCCCCTATTCCCCTAAAGAGAAAAAAAGCTTCTTTTGCATTGTTTGATTTTTTCCTAATGTCATTTCACAGTGATGTAGTCACAACTCTTTTTAAAATTCCATTTTATCAGCTTATCATTAGGTATTTAGCAAGGAATAAGATCAAAAGATTTATTTAAACCCTAATATGTTATCTCTTTGCTTTCTCACAGTCTACCAAATTCATTCCTTTATTACAGAAATATTTTTTTATTTTAATTTGGTCAGTTTTCTTCCTTAAGAATCAATACTGATATTTATTCAACACACAAAATGGGGATTATGATAGCTTTTTTCTAGTACGTTGAGAATACCCATGAAATCTGCAATTATATAATTTTAGTGTCATTTATTATTTAACTCAATTTATTATGGACTTTTTTTTAGTCATTAAACATCCTCTCTCTCTATTCTGCACACCAGGATCACTGCTCTGTGCTAACTCTAGCTGCATTCCCAAACCATTCTGATCTTTTCAGAATGACAGCTGAGACTCACATTTTTTTTTAAATGATGAATTTATGAGCCTGATGTTTGAACAGAATCTTTTATTTTTCTGTTAAATCCAACCACCTAATTAAAGCGGCAAATCCCTCTTAATGTACATCTGATTGAAATTAATGTTGGGGGGTTTAGTGGTCTAACATTGTTTCTGATTACATGTTGCATGTCATGGCTAAATTCTCCATCTTGCTACACTAATATTTATGAAGACCTCCATATTGGTATAACGTGAGCTTTTTATTCTATTGAATTTTTGTTTTTATGTGATATTTCTTTTATTTTTTATTTGATATGTCTCATCTGTGTCTCTTAGATTACTTCAAGTTATTTGGGGTACATATCAGCTATGATTATCTAATTCTCTGTCACCTTCTATTAAAAGAACAACGTTCTCATCATTAACTCTGTCTATATGTTAATTGCTGTAGGGATTATAACCTTGCACTTTGTTCCTTTGGTTCATTCATTCTTTTGATTCATGTGATGCACTCTCTAGCTATTGTTCATTGTCTAGTAAAATTTTCACTTTGGAGAAGTGAGGAAAAATATATTCTCAATTAAAAGAACAATGAATTATTTTCCAAAATGGTAATATATCACTCTAACTGAAAAGTAAATGCCTCTTTCCTTTTCAGAGGCGAGCTGCTGATAATTTGAGAAGACATCACCAATATCAAGTAAGTTATTCTAGTGTATCTTGAAAATTTGCATTAAAATAAAGTACAGTCCCCTCTTCAGAAGTGACTCAAGAGAGAAATCATATTTCTGCACTGAATATCAATTCTTGTGTTTTGACATGCCTCAGGAGGTTATGAGGAACCTGGTGAAGCGATACGTTGCCGCAATGATCAGAGATGCCAAAACTGAAGAAGGTCTGACTGAAGAGAACTTTAAGGTAATCATTTTCATCCTCATCACCAAGAGGCAGGTTCTGCAGAGCATGGAACCAGACAAGCACATTTAAAATCAGAGCTGGAAACTCAGCCCTGTGTTCCAGCAAGCCCATGTGTCGTCGTCATTGTCATTTTCTTCTTCTTCTTCTTCTTCTTCTTCTTCTTCTTCTTCTTCTTCTTCTTCTTCTTCTTCTTCTTCTTCTTCTTCTTCTTTCTTCTTCTTCCTCCTCCTCCTCCTCCTCTTCTTCTCTTTCTTCTTTTCTTCTTCTTCTTCTCTTTTCTTCTTTTAAGATTTATTTATTTTAGAGAGAGAGAGAAAATCTCAAGCAGACTCCCCACTGAGCACAGAGCCCAACACAGGGGTTGATCCCACGACCCTGATATCATGACCTGAGCTGAAATCAAGAGCCAGATGCTTGACCGACTGAGCCACCCAAACACAAGACTTTTTACTTTTAAATTCTTACTTTTAAATTCAAGACTATTTAACTATTAAAAAGAAAAAAAGCAGTGAAATTTCTTTTCAAAATAGACTGTTTTCAAGCACTTTCAATCTGAAATATGGAGGGGGTATACTTGGAGGCAGAGAAAATCCTAGTGCCCAGTGGCATTTGGACTTGCTGATCCTAGCAACACTCTAACGAGTGAGCTTTAAATTTCAGTCTGATTTCTGAACCCGAAACATTTAGTAACTACGATGCTAAAAACAACAACAAAACCCTGTTTGTGCTCTGCACAGCTTTGGTAGTAGAAAATTCAAGGTTTACGCTTAAGTATACCTTACAAACTTAGTCTTTCTCCCTGAGGTTTGTTTTTTTTTTTCTTAATTCTATCAGAAGAGATAGGTGGAATACATGTAATGTATATATGCTTGCACATGTGTATAAAATACCTTTGTTATTCTGCCTGAGTTCTTAGAGGTTTTGGAAGAATGAGCAAGTCTGTAAGATCTTAGAGGCAAAAACAAACAAGTAAAAAACCCTCCAGAAGACTCTTTAACAGTGAAAAGCAACAGGTCTGACAAGAGAATAGAGATAAGTAGCTGGTTAGGAAAGAAGGTAGATGAATTGCAAAATGCAAAGCCCGGGTTGAAAGTTGTCCAGGATCCCAAATGTTCTTTGCAGCCACAGCCTCCAAATTTTGTAGTTAAATGATTCATGGTGCTTTGGGAAGTAGGTTGGAGGCAGGAGGCCACCAGGAAGGCCAGCGTCAGGTTAGGATTGAGAATTCAGTTGTCCCAAAAGATAAAAGTAAAGGATGAATCTAAGAAATGCTGTCTGATCTGAAGCAATTGGTGAGATTAGCAGCTGACCCAGATGCTGAGATAAATTCAACTCCAAGGTGGTAAACAACTGAAGGTAACCGCCAACTCTTGGAAGGGCAGACGTCCCAGTAATTACTTTGTTTTAGATGGCCCTTGGGACAGCTACATGTGCTAATATTAAAAATCTTTAAAAAAAAAATGCAATCCTGAGAGAACGAGAGGTGACTTGAAAGCAGATGAAGCTTTTGGAGAGGAAGCATTTGAAAGTGCAGTCCCACAGAAATCCAATATACACCCTTATTTCTTTTTGCATCGGCCCCAGGAAGTCTCTGTGTTGCCACAGAGCTCCAGCGGGGAAACGAGCAGGCATCAAAATGACTCAAGGGCCAGGGACAGAACCGCAGCAGAGCGGAATCCTCACTCTTAAAAATGAGTGAAAACACCAATAAAAAATTAAAAAAAAAAAAAAAAAGAGTGAAAACACACCAGAGCCATACATGAAGCATGCTGGTGATGGTTCCTAATGTCTATCTGTTCAGGTCCTAAGCTAATGTCATCCTTTTACATTCCACTTAGGAACTAAAGCAAGACATTTCCAGTTTCCGCTTTGAAGTCCTGGGCTTGCTCCGGGGAAGCAAACTCTCCACCGTGCAGGCGGCTCAGGCCATGAAAGAGTCCTTCAATTCCGCCGACTCGGATGAAAAGAGCGATAACGAAGGCAGCAGCAAGGACAAGCGAAAGAACTTCAGCCTTTTCGACTTAACCACTCTGATTCACCCGCGATCCGCCGCCATTGCCTCCGAGAGACACAACGTAAGCAATGGCTCCGCCCTGGTGGTGCAGGAGCCGCCGAGGGAGAAGCAGAGAAAAGTGAATTTTGTGACCGATATCAAAAACTTCGGGTTATTTCACAGACGATCAAAACAAAATGCTGCTGAGCAAAATGCAACCCAAATCTTCTCTGTCTCAGAAGAAGTTACTCGTCAACAGGCCGAAAGACCACTGGAGAGAAATATTCAACTGGAATCTCGAGGATTAGCTTCGCGGGGTGACTTGAACATCCCGGGTCTCAGTGAACAGTGTATATTAGTAGACCACCGAGAAAGGAATACGGACACCCTGGGTTTACAGGTGGGCAAGAGAGTGTGTTCCTTCAAGTCGGAGAAGGTGGTGGTGGAGGACACTGTTCCAATCATACCAAAGGAGAAGCATGCAAAGGACGAGGACTCTAGCATAGACTATGATGTAAACCTCACAGACACAGTCACCCACGAAGATTACGTGACCACAAGATTGTGATACTTGAAGGAGGAAGCGTTGATCCTACATATACATATTTTCCGTAGTGCTCTGGGTAGGGGGAAAATTAGCAAAAGCTAACTTACACTTTATAGCATCTATCATCTGTGGCATATTAACGTGTAACATGTTTAACTAAGGCAAAGGCTATCAAAAACCCTGGTTTTGTAACCAGCTTTTGCTTTCACAATTTGTTTTACCTTTTTTTTTTTTTTTGTTAATAAATAAACGCACTGTGTATTCTTGTACTGTTGCCATAATCCACAGGAAATTTTTAGCTCTCTTTTTCAACTAAAACAAATCCACCTTATTTCATGTGGTAGTTGTCTCCTATGATAGATATTTTTATATGCAGAAACCAATGTAGCTGAAATATTAGAGCTTTTCATAATTTTTTAGGTCTCTAGAGATGGTTACTCGTCAAAGACTTTTCAGTCGGCCCTACAGTTTAGCTTTAATACACAAATATTACCAAATTATTTCTTAACATGTAAATAATTACAGCACCAATTGAAGCAAACAAGCCTCCTTCTCATAGAGTCATGATCAAACTCCCTCTTAAAACGGAAGTCAGGTGTATTCCAGAGTTTTAGGTTGCCCAATTTTTCCTCTCAGTAAATAAAATAAATGTTTGTCTTAATAAATATTGATGATTGATGATTTTTAATGAGATTTTGTCATGACAAAAGTTTTATTTCAAGTTGTTTTTTTTTTTTTTTGACCTTTTTCAGGTTCAATTGCTAGTCAGTATAAATACCAGGCTTTATGAATAACAGAATTTCAAAACATGACAGAAGTTCTCAGTCCTAGAAAAGAATAACAATAAATTAGAATAATTAATGCACCTTAAACAAAGCAAGATGATTGCATTCTCATAATATCCAGATGAAAACAAAATCATTCTAAACTCTAAATCTAAGCAAAGATAAATTGTATTTTCAATCAGTGTGACATTGTTGCTAATTCAAAAGAAGTACAAACACATAATGATTTCCTCGTCTTTCCCCCAGTGACTGGTATATATTTCTTTAAAATTAAACTCACCCAAAATCATTATTAATTTTAGCAATAGATATAGATATAAAGCTTTCCCCAGAGGGACAAAATTCTTAATTACTTGTTTCTTCTGTTGTCTTCAAGGTAATCTAGCTTAAATTACACTCATTCACGAACTACTAAAAAAGAAAGGGTTTTACCTGATATAAAAAGGCATTGGCAACTTCATAAAGTTTAAGTTATGTAACTTGTGTCTATTTAAGCCACCATGGAAATAGAAGTTCTTTCACCACATACAATTAGCATGTATTTCAAATCATTAGAAAAATGCTGAGTTCATTTTACTTCAGAAATTACTTCCATGGACTAGACTGTACATGATTTAGCATTGACCCAAAATTGGAAAGTTTCTGATTACCATACATGGAAAATAAGGAATAACATCAGTAACAGTGCCAGCCACTGTCCTATGTGCAGTGTGAGTATCAACACCTATGTACTACTCACAACAATCCTCTGAAGGAGGTGATATTCTTATCCCCACTTTAGAGATGAAGATACTGAGGCAAGCACTAATTAGGTGAAGGTTCACAGCTAATGATAGAGCTATGATGAGTCCTCCAGAGCTATGCTCTTAACTACTATTTGTAGTGCCTCTCAAAACATAAATAGAGCAAAAAATGTGCACATATAAGGGTTACTGTTGCTACTTCGGAAATGGTGTATTTTGAGAGAGAATGAGTTTGGTAAACTCCATAAATCTGTGTTCCCTCTTGTAAAGCAAGAGGAGTGCACAAAATTAAAGATAATTTAGACTCAATTATATTATAGAAGTTAGTAGATTTAAGAAAAAACATATTTGGTATGGGACATCAGAATTCAACTGGAAATATTGGATTTTAGTTTTCAAATAAGCCACAACCCAGAGGCACTGAGATACTGCTCTTTTCCTAAATCTGGTTTTGTCCTCGGGATAGAGGAATGGGCCTGGTAGGTTTGGAGAAACACAATAGGGCTAATGCTTGTTCTCACTGCCTCAAGCACACCTTTATCTCAAGTATGTTAGGACTCACAATAAGCCCTGGGGATAGCAAAACACCCAAACTATTCTAAGTCCGACAGACTTTCGGTAGTAGGGGAACATAGACCTATTCTCAATACTTGGGGTATTTTCCAATGATTCCATTTTGCTGCTTCTGTTATTAATGTTGTTATTTCCAAAGTAAAAATCATATACATCATCATTACACATACTCTACCAGAATTTAATTTCAAATGTCCTCTGTTCCTTCAGATAACACCACTGACAATAAAAGCCACAACAAAATATGTTCCCAGGAATTTATTTCTATCAGGGGTTAGGGTGCTGATATTTTACAGAGGAACATGGTGATAACAGAGGGATTTACTTGGAGCCAGTAACCCCCTGCTTCTCATGTTCTGAAAATGATGGCTTTTAACAACCCTCAGATGTCACTGACAGATGCGTTTATGAGTTTAAACAAAATATTGGATATTGTTAGTACAATATGTCCTAGGATTGAACATTATTCTGAATATGTGGTGATACTAAGTAGCATTAATGAAGATGAACAATAGGGAAAGAATAAGAAAACATAAAACAACAGGATTGCAAATAGAAGGATGATATTTTTTGAGATCTTTAAATGAGTAATTTGGGGTTTCTTTTCATTTCTATTCATATTTCTATGAACATAAATTCCTAAACACCAAAGAGAGGTTTGACATCACACCTTCATTTGTATAAATAATGTTTCTTATGTTTCATGTCATTTTGACCTTGCTATTTGTTGCTCATCTTTACTTATTTATTTATTGTCAGGGTTTGGTGGAAGAATGTCTAGAAAATTCAGTTTAACTTTAATAGAATAGGTTGTATTCACAGCACTTCATTTATCATCTACTTGGAAAACCCATTTACAAGAGACAATGCTATGAAGATGTACCTCACCATTTGCCATAGATGTATTCCTGAAAATATCCGTGTAAATAATTCTGTATTAACTTCAGTAGGGGAACTGGCTATGTAAAAAAAGAAAAAAATGGTAGTGAATTATTTTGTAAAATGATGAATTATTTTTCAAAGTGATAAGCATCCTCAAAATGTAACTGTTTCATAAGTTGGATATTTGTATATCAAATTTTCTTAAATTAGATATTTTATTTATTGGCTGTCAATTAAAATACTGCAAAAGCTCACCCACTTTCTTGCCTTGACCTGGATAGCAACTCAACATACTTTAGTAATTGAACACACAAATCTAAACAAAGAAATATCTTGGATAACCTTTGAGGTGTAAAGAAAGAAATTTATCATATTATTCTCAAAGAAGCAATTTCCCAGCCAGTATAGAAGGAATATGGGTAACCCGTGATACAAAAATGCACTCTTCTAATATTCAATAATCCTTACTAATTCTGGGATTTAGTAAAGTGATTGATTGTCCAGTCCCATGACTTTTTGTTGAAGAGCAGACATCAAGCACTGAAATCTGTCCATTCTTATTTATTGTGCATTGTGTTTGTAAGCAGACCACTTTAGACAGTACCCTTAAAAATCAGCTGGGCAAAAACCATCCGTGTGACCCTGTCAATATGTTTACAATGACTTAAATTTTTAAAGAGCTAAATTTATGAATATACTCACCATTTGGAAAATTATTTCTTCAGTTTAACTTTATTACATTTTTTCCTTGTCTTATATTCTCCAAAATTCAGACCTCCCAGTAATTTACATTTAGAAATTACTCTCTGTAAGTCGTCTTAAATTCAATTTCAAATATATTATTCTGATTATTTCACGATATATTACAATGAACTTTGTTTATATAATGTTATCACATGACTTTAGAAAACATTTTGGAATATACTAAAGTTCTCCAGAGATAACTGGAGAAACTAAGGTTCAGGGCATTTATGGCAATTATCCAAATTTACCCCACTACTCAGTGGTTGAGTTGGAGCTTAAAGAAAAACTCTTCATTTAGATATTCAGATGAGATACCAGATCATAAATGTCTCAGCTAATGAATTTTTATTTTTGTGGAATTTTGTCTTCCTTGCTCTCCCCTTCAGTAGAAAATATTTATAGTCGTTCAAACTTTCCACAGCCCAAATTCAAAGATACTACCTTTTTTTCCCTACAAAATTGTGTTCACGGATTTTTTTTTAAAAGCTGGTGTCTTACCATTTTCTAAGAAATGCAGTTCATCATTTTCACTTCAACTGTAGATTTTGTGATAATTCTATACACAGTCTGGTAATAATAAAATGTCTGAAATAAAATTAAGCCTTCTCAACTGAAAAATGATAGAGCTGGGAAATATGAAGCTGACACGAGATTGAGACCATGAGACCAGGGCCAAATATGGTCATGCTGTCACTGAGTTGGCAAAGAGTGAAGTTGTCTCTGCCAGTGAAATTTACCAGTAGCAAACCCATCAGCTTCCTCTAGAGCCGCACTGTCCAATATGGTGGCTACTATTGACATATGGCTACTAAGCACCTGAAATGTCTATAAATGTAAAACACACACTGGATTTCAAGGACTTAGTATGAAAACAATGAAAAATATCTCATTAATATTTACATTGGTTACATGTTGAAATGATAGTATTTCGGATGCATTGGGTTCAAATATATGAATTAAATTTAGTTTCATGTTTCTTTTTACTTTTTAATGTAGCTACTAGAAAATTTTTAAAATACATATGTGACTTGCATTTGTAACTTGCAGTACATTTCTATTGGACAGTGGTGCTCTGGAGCATCTCTATTTGTTTCACTCAATTCATGTATTCCCACCATTTGAATTTCATAAGTGAAACTTATGTATTCAACGACTCAAAAAATATCGTTTTTGTTCAACTAAAATTTGCTGTTTCTCCTCGATTCCTAATCTCCTAATGGAATCACTGCTAATAATTTGCTGTTTTTTCATGTTTTTCCTTGCCTTTGCAAATATATTAATATATATTATAAAACATACATATAATAATATATTAATATATACATTTATAATATAAATAAATATATAAATATATGTATAGGTTATGGGTTTTTATTGTTTTTATCAAGAATGGAATTTATACTATACCTATAATTTAGTGACTTGTTTGTTTTTTATCTAACAGGGTATCATGGAAGACTTTTCTAGAGCTATTTACTATAGCAGAGTTATTCGAACCCACTCAAAAAAAATTCTTCATTGATTGTCTTTACCTATTGAAATATATTCATACTG